GGTTGGTTGGCTGTTACCAGTTTGTCAGTTTGTATCTGGAAGTCCCACAGGATCTTAGCTTGGTCATTCTCAACCACCTTTGGAGGTGTTTCCCATTTTGACTTTAGGACTTCCAGCCTGGGAAAGACTGTGGTTCAGTGGGTAGAGCAGTTGTCTCCCAACCGGAGGGTCGGAGGTTCGAATCTCGGTACCTGCAGTCCACATGCCGAAGTGTCCTTGGGCGAGACACTGAACCCCCAAGTTGCCCCCGTTGGTCAGAGCCATCGGTTGAATTAGCGCCACAGATAGCTGCCTCGGTTCTGTACCGGAAACAAATTCCTTGTGTGTAACATACTTGGCCAAGTAAAGGTGATTATCCTTGTGATTATCCTTATGATTATCCTGTACTCGGCACCGATGTTTCTGTACACTATGTCAGCCACTTGGTTATTGCGTTCCATGTATGCCCTACCTGCTAAGCATCTGGCACCCCGCTCTCTACTGGAATTTTGGACAAGTCTTCTTTTGCCAACTGCTCCAGGTCTCTCAGATTTGAAGAGTTCCTTCTCCCAACCACTGTTTTTAGATCTCTCCACAGGTGCTTTATGGGATTTATATCTGGACTCATTGCTGGCCACTTCAGAACGCTCCAGCTCATTTCCTGAAACTGTTTTTGAAGTCTGCTTTGGGTCATTGTCTTACTGTAAGACCAATGACGGTGACCCAACTTACATTGCACCCCAAAATTTGTTGACATACACACAGTCAAGACATCCAGTGCTGGAAGCAGCAGAGAAATCCCAAAACATCAGTGAACCTCCACCGTGTTTGACTGTAGGGACCGTGTTCTTTTCTTTAAAGGCCTCATTTTTGAAAACAGTAGAATAATGTGCTCGGCCAAAAAGCTCTGTTTTAGTCTCATCTGTCCACAGGACATTCTCGCAGAAGGATTGTGACTTCCTCAGGTAAGTTCTGACAAGTTCCAGTTTGTCTTTTTTATGTTTCTGTGTCACCAGTGGGTCCCCCTGGGTCTCCTACCATAGCTTCCCTTGTCATTCAGATGGCAACAGGTAGTGCGAGCTGACACTGTTGCACCCTGTGCCTGCAGGTCAGCTTGAGTTTGCTTGGAAGTTGATCGAGGTTCTTTAGCCACCATTGGAACAATCCTTTGTTGCAGTCTGTCATCTGTTTTTCTTTTCTCCACGTCGAAGGAGATTAGCTCCAGTGCCATGGGCTGTAAACTTCTTGACAATGTTGTGCACAGTGGACACAGGAACAGCCAGATCTCTGGAGATGGACTTGTAGCCTTGAGACTGTCCAGGCTTTTTCACTAATGTGGTTCTCAAATCCTCAGACCATTCTTTGTTCTTCTTTTTTTTTCTTCATGCTCGGTGTGGTCCACACCACACAAATGTTGCCACCTTTTCTCCATTTTAACTGGTTGCAAGTGTGGTTTTTATATTGTCAGCACCTATTGATTGCTACATGTGAGTTTTTTTGGCAAATTAAAGGAGCATCATCTGCTTGAAATACAACTATTTCTGATGGTTTTGAAAAGGTGTCAATAATTCTGTCCAGTCCATTTTTGGAGTTCTGTGTGGAATGCATCAGATTTGCCTTTATTGCTTTTTTTGTGTTGTTCCAATGCAAACAAAAGAAATAAACATGAGAATACCAAAGAATTTGATTGCATCAGTTTTCTGGGAGAAGTGGTGTGTTATCTGACAGAAATGCCAATATTTTGGGCCACGACTGTATGTACAACAACTGTACCTTGCCCATTTAAATTCTTTTTAGGCTAAAACCTATGCATAATTAAGGGTGTGGCCACTTTGAGTGAGAGGTGGGAGGGTCCCACCACAGGTGGCCGACCGCTAGCTGTTTAGTGAGCTCCGTTCATGCTCCTCCTCCTTGCCCATTTTTGCATTAGCTGGAGTTAGGTGGAGTGAAGTGCTTCCAAGATGGTGATTGCCAGACTTGAGCTTCAAAACTGCAATTCAGAAAACCGATGGGTGACGTCATAGAGGGTTTTTCTGTCTTTTATACACAGTGGTTCAGTCATGTTTGAGTTAGTTTGAGTTGCTGTTAGCTAAACAGTTTCTGTTGTAATCAAAGTGCAAAGGTCATTATTCTTGTTGTTTTTGGTCATTAGCAAACAGGTTCATGTATAAATCATTAATATGATATGAATGAAAGTGTAACTAGAAGAATGGTATTCTGAAACTGACATAACACAATCAGCCAGAATTGACATTAAGCTGATGTGCTGTGTGATCTGCCACCAGCGTTTGTCTTTAAGTGGAAGTGACAGAAGTTCAAGTCAGAAGCTTTTGTGTGCTGCTCTTTGTTAATGATTAATCTTTTTTTTGCTGCCTCAGTGTCTGATCTCTGCCACTCACCAGTTAACCCAAATTTTTTCCAAATTCATATGTTGACATACGCAGCAGAATGCTGCACTGAAGAGGCTGGCAGTGGTGCAAACAAAACACAGCGGAGCGCAGTAAAGAAAGGAACAGATTTCTGTCAGCTTTATTTTATCTGATAAGAACCATTTGGATTTAGTCAGTCTGTCTTGGATTAGAAGTGCAAGATGTAGCAAGTAAGCAGTTCTACAGTCTGTGGACAACAATGGAAGTGTATGTTAGAATAAGGACTAGCTGGAATTGACTTTTCAATTGCACTGTGTAACAGTGTGCACACAATTACAGTACAGTGGAGCTGAGAGTCACGATCACGTTGTTCATCTGCTGTTCCTTGTCCACTTATCTGTTATAAATTTGTAACTGACCCATCACACTGTGATGAAGTCATAATGGGAACGCTGGGGGCCTGTGAGTGAGCTAAAAATAAGTCGGGTTTCCTAAGCTGGTGCTCTGCTGTTTTGTTGCAGGTGGACTTTGTCATCAAGGAGGCTACCAACATGGACAACCTGGCCCAGCTGTATGAGGGCTGGACTGCCTGGGTGTGAATACTATCCTGCTTCATGTCTTTGGTCCAGCGAAGGCTTGGAGATCTACCAGAGTCCAGCAGGTCTGGGGTGTCGGAACAGCAGCACCGGGCCATACCGGGGAAAGGAAATGGGAAGCGGATGCTTAGTCTGCCTTCCCCAACTCCTGGGTACCCGAACTGGGGCAGCGACCTCGTAGCACTGCTGCAACCACACTCCCCCAACAATCGGCGATCGGGCTAACACAACGCTTAGTGGGCTTACAGCCCGCTTTCCCTCCTGGCGTTTGACCAGGCAAAGCAGCGCCGAATGGGGGAGGGGGGAAGGAGGGCAAAGGCCTTCTCACCCTCGACTTGGAGATACCTTCCCCCCTCACCTGCATAGCTCACTATCAAGTTGTACCTATAAACATCACTGCATCCTGTTGAGCCAATCAAACTCCATCTGAAGGCAGGATGAAGCAGGAAGTGAGCGATTTCCCTCTGAAGCACACAGCTGACTCGCTGTGGGTGGGACTTCACCAGAACTATAGCTCAGATGGATGGGGCGTTTTTATGGCCATGCTCGTTTTTCTCTAATCTTTTCCTTGCTGGCCTTGTGACTTGACTGACCACTGAGTGACATGGTTGGGCAGGAATGATGAGAGCACAGATACAGCAACATTAAGGCTACATGAACACCTACTGGAAACCTGAAATGAAAAGAAATTAAAGTGGGAATGAATAATTGAACTGTACTTTGATAAACGGTGAAGACTTTGACATGTCTCTGAAGTGTTGTCAGATTTCACATAATAAAAGGCTAAGTGTTGTTTTCTCAAGAGGCTTCTTTTTACTTTAGTGAATAAAAGTGCAGCACCTTGTCGTATGAAACAGTTTTGGTTGACTCGTATGAGCTGAGAACATACATGTTTAGACGAGGAAGAACCTATGTCTGATTATCTTCATTGTGCATCTTTTGTCTGTGTTGTGCTGTGAATCTTCAATCCTTCTTTCGAATCAACTATAGGAGTGACTTCTGCCTTTTTTTGACTTGCTTGTCAGTTGCTTTTGCTTGCCTCATATGTATTCGCTCCTTGGCCCTAAATGCTTGCATTTTATTAATCTTGACCTTCTAGTTTTACATTTTTAGTGGGAGAAATAGTTTTTGGAGATGGTGCAAAATGTTAATTCTTAAAGCTTTTATTGTATTTTTTTGGATGCCAAATAAACATGGAACTGAGAAATGCTGATTGTCTTGTTTAACAGTGACAATCTTTAGATTGACTCTGACACAAGCTGCATGCACACCAGAAAACCCATGTGCAAGCAGGAATCTTAAGCAACTGCAAATAAAGGCTTCTTGATGAACTTCTCCTTTTGGTACAAGTTTACCAGTATCATTACCAGATGGTCAGAACTCATTTGATTCACATTATATCACATTGAAAGTGAAGTTAGCAGTACTGCTCTAGTTTAAAATGAAGCAATGTCCTCTTGTTCTGAAGTATTTTGTTTGTTTTTTTTCTTGGCAGATTATTCATTTTAGGAATTAATAGGTCCCATAAAAGGGAAAGTAGTATAAAATAAAATAAAATACATAAAATCTTGGATCAGATCCCTCATGTAATGAACCACTGTTGAACAACAAACATTGTATTTTAGGGTAAACATAAGGGATTAATGTCTAATGTATATACAGTTTAAGGAGTATAGGTATATAACATGATTATGTACAAATGGTTTGCAATGTTAATATAGGAGCAGCTGGCCTGGGATAGAACATGTAGACCTTGACCTACTACTCTAAGACAACACTATCTCATAACTTAGCAACAGCCTAAAACAGGATATAAATGTCCAGGTGGTTCACAGTCCTGATGCCCATCATCTTCTGGGTTTGTTCCGACTAATAAATTTGTCTTATGTAAACTGAACAGAATGGCACCGAAGCCCCCTCAGATGTCAGGAATAAGAAGAAGAGACTGATGAAGCAAGCTGGTTAATGATTACAGCAGCTCTGTTTATCACAGCTCACCCTGCACTGTGTCGGACAGCGAGCCGCCTCACTGTCCGTAGTGTTTCAGTGGACAGCCATGTCAGGACAGCGTGTGTGTGTGTCAGACTTTGAGGAAGAAGCCAGGAGAGTTCTTCCTAAAGCTGTGTATGACTACTACCGCTCAGGAGCTGATGAGCAAAATACCCTGGCTGACAATGTCACTGCCTTTAACAGGTACAACACACACACACATTGAGAACCTCAGTTGGAGAGTGTTTTTTAGCACGAAGCCAAAGTTCCACTAAAGCCACAACCGACACTGTGCATCAGATACAGTGACAGGACTCTGCAGTATTCTATTAACTGTGACCTTTGTCTTTTCTGCATAGTCCTGACAAAGCATTTAACAAAGTCAGATTACGGTGAAATTCACAGAGGTTGTGGTATAATACCCGTGTTTCGAAACGTCTTTTAATTTATTGTCATTCAGCTTTTGCATGTTCACACAGTTCCTATGTGGTTTGGTTGATTTTCTGTTTATTCTGGTTTAATTTAAAATGTGCTTTGTCACAGTATTGGTGTAAGGACCAGTCATACTTATGGCTACTTCTTCCTGTTACCTGTTTTTTCTGGCATTTGTTGGTTTGTTTGTTGACAGCATAACTCAAAGAGTAATGAATGGATTTTGTTTAGATTTTTTTTTTTTTGGAGAGGCAGGGTATGGGCCACAGAAGAATTGATTAGGTTTTGGTGCTGATTTGGAGATAATCTGGATCCAGGAATTTTAAAAAAAAGATTCTTTACTATTGTGAGTGTTGGAAAGGCTGTTGACTGTATGTGAGTCCCCCAGTGGTGAAAGATCAGCTGTGCTGCTAAGCACATATAGAGACAAATCCCTGGGTTAGTGACATTGTCAATGGAAATTGAGTGATATCACTCAGTGCACCCTGTTGTGCGAGAGAGTGACTGTAGGCGCCCAGCGAGGCGACTGCCCATAGCTGGAGAAAGATCTACTTTATACAGTAATAGCTGGGCGACAGCCAGTTGGGATTATTTTGATCCCAAATGGTGATGGCAGAGACTTTGAGCCAGGACCAAAGCTGTTATAATTTTAATCCTAGGACTGGTAGGCTATTATTCCACTTTATTAGGTTTTGACATTTTTTCAGGCAAGGAAATAACTACTTATATTGACAATAAGTTGTTAATTTATCCAAGTAATGCCAATTTATACATTTGTTCCATTGTCTTCAGAGATGTAAGCACTCATTATCTGACCAAGCTAGCTCTATTAGCAGACATCTACATCTCGTTCAGAGTAAAGTAGGCTTTCACAAGGATGCCAGTGTTCCAGCTGCACATTGTGAGTACTCGAGTCCTCCCATCCTCAGGAGTTTTGACTTCATGTTCGAACCTACTACTACAACTGCCTGCTACAATTGTAAACAGGCTGTGCATCACGACATGGAGCAAAGTACATAAGTAGTACAGCCTATATGTCACATCTATCTACCTCAAAACAACACACCCCTAGAACTACAGCATTGCCAGAACCCAG